TGTATACATAAAAACTTAGAAATAAAGTTAGGTCTAGACGTAAGTTTCTCTTACATTCGATTTCCTTTTAATCATATTGATAGATGGCACGTGTTAAACAATAAGATACTTTCCACTTCCTAGTTTTAGAACAAACACAATTAGTACTTTACAATCTATTTATCAGAAAGTTGTTCCTCCACATATTGATAGATGTTACGTGTTTAACACAGCTGATAAGGTACTATCCACTTCCTTGTTTAAGAACAAAGTTAACCCAATTAGTACTTTACAATCTGTTTATCAGGAAGTTGTTTTCCCTCAATTTCTTTAAACTTCTGCTTGGAAGAATACAGGAAATATCCCGAGAAGAAGCAACAAATGTCCAGGGCTACAATGGAAGAATGTTCAGGTTCAAACAGAATTTATATACGTTTGCGTAATCGTCGATTGGTATTTGACCATTTTCTTCACGTTAAGTTAACATATATTCCAATGTGCTTCACAATATAAAAAATAGATGCTCGTTTAAATTAAGATAAACGTTTAAATCTCAAATATGTTTACATCATAGTCAACCTTAATAAGAATCAATTTTATCATACCAATTTTTCAGGGCTACATTGTATGTTTAAATTTCTAATTGTAAGCATCCATGCCAAATTATTCTTAACATTAAACAAAGTAAAAGTCAATTGATACCTAGATAGATAAACATATTTACCTTATTTTCTAAAACCAATTAACAAACGTTCAGAGAAGGAAACATAAAAATTTAAACTTCTTTAACCTGGCTTGTGCTGTCAATTAACACACACTTTTATTTCCAAAAAAAAAAAAACCTTATCGGTTCCCGGAAGTCCAGAAGTACAACAAACATGTGCTTATATTACAGGCAAGATATGTCGTTCCATTTCAAATTGATACACATTTTTTATTTCAAAAGCAATCTCATTTTTGTTATAATTTTTAAAAAGAAACTTTCAACAAGGGTTAAATACGCAGCGAGGTTAAGGCACATTGAAGGAAAATCAATTAATTTTGGCCATAATTTGTATCTGCAAAAAACACGGTTGTTATCATCAATAACTTTGTTAAAAGTATATGCCAATGTCTTTATTTCCAAAAAACATACATGTAAACAGTTTTATTACATTGTAAGGTCTTGCAGTAAAGTGAAAGTAGTCACGTGACCACTAATCCAAAAACAACCTTAGCGATCACAAAAGTGAAAAGTGCAGGTTGAAGATAACCAAGTACAAACGCCAACCAAGAAATTCTAGACACTACTAGGTACACTTTATATAAAAACCGCTGTTACAAGTTCAATATTTACGTTTAAATTGAAAATCGATCAACTTTTACGAGTAAAATGGCATAAAAATGCAAAAAAATACCCTCCCGATAGCGCTATAAAAATGATCCACAACTATTTTGATTTGTAACAGCACTTTTTATAAACTGCAACATCTGCTGAATCTATACATGTCTGCAACTAAGAGGTACTCATTGATCTTCAACCTGCACTTTTCGTATAAAAAATAGTTGTTGATTGTTTTTGGTTTCCGAGATAAAATACAAACGCAAAAAGACAAAGAAAAGCAAAGACAGAATAAGACGGGCCAACAACCCGGAAACGGGGAAGTTGGGAGTATAAAATTTTATTATTACTATATTAGAGTACCATCGATGAAAAATTCGTTTTTTTTCAATTAATTTTTATAAAAATAAAACATTTGAAGATATGCTCAAGTTTTCCAGTTTTCTTGAGGTCGTACAAGCTAGATAACAGAGATAAAAATTACCCGGGAACTGGTCCTAGTGTAGTTCTCATTTTGCAATTAAAAGCATACTGATGTCTCTCCTAGTACATCAAATATGTATATATTGTAAATCATTATATTATTAAAAAAAATTGCATTTTCACAAAGAACTCACCAAATATCATGAATTCACTTGTATTATTTGTTTGCTCTTCGTCATTGATAATGTGTAAATAAATTATAAACAAACTTCCTACCTGCATATAAATATTCAGATTTTACTTGTTGAATGTCTCAAGTGAGAACTGGTATCAATTTGTAAATCATGATTGGGAGGTCTTTTCGAATTTCTTGTTATTTTTGCCTCTGAATATTCACCATGCAGTTACCAAGCCAGTATTATGTACAGCTTGCACTTTTTGATTTTGTCCCCAATGATTTCCTGCATTTTGTTGGACAGAAGATTCCTTTTCATCCCATCTGAAGCAATATTTTTCTTATTTCAACATTTTTACTTGGTAAAATCATTCTGCCCTCCTTACTTATTTTTGTTTGGAATATTCAAAAGCACACAACAGCATTAACACGGGGGATACAATTCCCTTTTCCTAGAATGAGTAACTTTTAATATTAGCACTTACTACCTTTTTGGGGTAAGGATTAGCAGCCGAGACATCGAGTAACCCATCCTTAAAAAAATATACCTTTATCTCTCATGCTTTATGCTTGCACTATATCATGGAGAGATAAACAGATTTGACAAATAGCAAATGCATTTACGACTAATTTTAATCGCATCTGTGAAAGATCAGATTGAATTAGTTTCAGATACATGTACATGTTTACCTATGCTTCAATCAGCAACCTTGTCATATATATCATCTTAAATTCTCAACATTGTAGTATACCATGAAGCTGCAAATAGTGATCTATTTTTTCAGCCGCTCATTACATGTTAAGTTTCTCCCTACCCGAGTGCCAACAATAAAAATGGACAGCCACCGAAGAAATAGCCAGAAGTGCTAACTGACATCCAACACAAGCAATCAATTGTTTTTACATGATAAAGTGCCATATAATTTTAAAGTTCATCGTTAAACATGTTAAAATCAGAAAACATATTTCCCATGACCTGCTGAAATTGGAAGCAACTGATTGGTAGCTATGGTAATTAAATTTTTTTTCTGTCAAAATAAAACAAGCATTCCGAGAGTATTGCATGGCAATACATAGCGATACACAAGTCCGCTACCGGTTAAAAATTAATTGTACTGGAGCAAAATGCTAACCTTATCTATAACTTGTCATGGTGTAAACTATATAACAAATATTAAATCAATATCTTCAAGCATGACGAAAAAAAGTGCGGAAAACTGATTTGCCGGACTGACGGATGTCCAACAGAGTGCGGTAGGGGACTAATAAATTCTATGTACCGGGTATGTATATATATAATAAAATATAAATATACAGAAATGACTGACTGAATCACAATTTTTACATATACATGTAAACAATCCGAAAGGACCATAACTCTGCACAAAATTATCAGACCGGAACAAAATTCGAACTTGATATGTAACTTGTCATGATAAAACAATATACCAAATATCAAATCAATATCAGAAAGCATGAATAAAAAAGTGTGGAAAACTGATTTGCTGGACTGACGGATTGACAACAGAGTGCGGTAGGGGACTAATATATTCTATGTACCGGTATAAACATATATATATATATAATAAAATATAAATATACAGAAATGACTGACTGAATCACAATTTTTACATATACATGTAAACAATCCAAAAGTTTCAAGTGAATGAATCATGACATAGGTGACAGGGCAAAATAGTCAGCATGGAAATGAAAATATGTAAATGCTAATAAAACTACATACTAGTACTGCCTACAAATATCCTTAACAAGGGTACAATCAGTGGGTAATCTTAACCTGACCCAATCACAAAAAGTAAAATGACTTAATTCATGTAATTGTTAATCAAAACTTCATAGGCAATTATACCACATCTTCTTATTTTATATTAAATTCTAGCTGTATTACCAAACATGTACGCAATTTCAAAGTTAGAAAAAAACAATTTCTTTCAGTGTTGGGGATGCTGTCTAATGGCCATACATGTATACCCAACATATTTTGCTAAACAGACTAGATATAAGAATCTCAAATGAATCTCTAATACTATGAAAATATTCCATCACATGTTTCAAAGTTAGGTATCCTTCAAAAAGATATAACCTGCATGACCTGATAACTATTGTAAACTCAGAAACTTTTGCGTAAATTTATTATCAAGATAATCATGATAATTATAGTTATTGAACAATGCCAGAACAAATAAACAGCTGCGCCATGAGCGCATGATACGCCCGTCGTCTTGTGTGTGAATTTTTATGCAATAAGCATAAATAGTTTCTGACATACGGCGTGACATGCGAAAACCCCCTTTTTTTTAACAAAAACTCAATATCTCTAAAATATAATTTTGAATCAAAACCAAAAAGTATACAGATCTTTAGATTAACATAACTAAGAAGTGTGTAAAATTTTAAGCAATAATCATAAATCGTTTTTGAGATACGGCGCGACATGTAAAAACCCCTTTAAAAAAAAATCAATATCTCAAAAATAAAATTTTGAATCAAAACCAAAAAGTATACAGATCTTTAGATTAACATAACTAAGAAGTGTGTAAAATTTTAAGCAATAATCATAAATCGTTTTTGAGATACGGCGCGACATGTAAAAACCCCCTTTAAAAAAAAAATCAATATCTCAAAAATAAAATTTTGAATCAAAACCAAAAAGTATACAGATCTTTAGATTAACATAACTAAGAAGTGTGTAAAATTTTAAGAAATAATCATAAATCGTTTTTGAGATACGGCGCGACATGTGAAAAACCCCTCCCCCTTTTTTTACAAAATACTCAATAACTCAAAAATAAAATTTTGAATCATCACCAAAAAGTGTACAGATCTTAAAGTTAATATAACTAAGAAGTGTGTAAAGTTTTAAGCAATAATCATAAACTGTTTTTGAGATACGGCGCGACATGTGATTGCAATAATTGCAATAAAAACACTTTTTCTATGCTTTTGAACTTTTTGTATACCTGTATGCTGTGTTATGAAATGAAATTGAAATGTAAGTCGTTATAAAATATGACTATTTGTTATCTGGTGGAGAGTTGTTTTATTGGCAATCATACCACATCTTCTTAGTTTTATAATTACATGTATATCCATTAGTGGTGCATCAGTAAATTGTATGCCTATATCTCATGTATATCTGTAGGTATGAGTAATGTTTAAATCGAATTGCTTCATCTTTCCCGTAATTGCCATAAAAATAACAAAACACTTATATAAGTCTTATAAATGAATATTTCCTTCTTCACAGTTCAACTGAAATTCATATGTCTATCTGTAGATCTCTCATTTGGTTAGGTATTGCTAAAAATATATTGCTGATTTTTCAAATATTTCATGAAAGAGACGACAAATTTCATCTGTGAAATAAATATTTTTTTTAAATGAAATCCATTTTGAAACTCCAATTGTAAGAAAATTCACAAATCTCCAAACTGCCTGTATTTAGAATTCATTTTAACTGAGGTAAAAGCTTTTTAAGATGGTAAACATCAACTTCAATGACACATGAAAAAGAAGCTAAATTGTCCAGTTAATGTTCCTCTATCATGTCTATCTCTCAGCATCAAAATTCTAAATTCCAACACTGACATTCAGGTATTGAAACAGCCAATGCTTCTGCTAAGTACTTTACATAGAATTGCTATCTTTTTTCTACTTTTCATAGACATATTTGGTGGCTTTCTAAACATAATTTTCATCTGATCTGATCTTCCATAATGGTCATGATGAGTTATATGTAACTTTCTACTGCTGTCTCACTGCAGGTCATCATCCCTGAAATATGAAAATGCATATATAATAATTATATTAAATGAAATTTTTAACATGGGAAAAGTGATCAAAAGTTCATCTTCAACAAGTTACTGTGAAAATGCTAACAAAATAATTCCCCTGTCCTACATGTCTTAATTTAATAATGTCTTCATTGAAGTTCATTCAACATTTGAACAAGAATTTAATTTCCTCATTACTGAGTCAATGTTAGTCATACACATTTTAATAAGGTGCACTACTTTTATTTAATTTTAAAATTTAACACATAATACATCTTATAGGCAGCCTATAAGATGTATCATGTAATAAATTAAACAAGAATGTGTCCATAGTACATGGATGCCCCACTCGCACTATTATTTTCTATGTTCGTGAAATTGGGGTCAAAACTTTAATTTGGCATTCAAATAAGAGAGATCATATCATAGGGAACATGTGTACTGAGTTTCAAGTTGATTGGACTTCCAACTTCAGCATAAACTACCTTGACCAAAAGCTTTAACCAAAAACTTAAATCTGAAGCGTGAAATACTGACGGACGAAAGACCGGATGCACAGACCAAAAAACATAATGCCCATATTATGTTTAACTACATTGTTTTGTATCTCCTTTCCCAAATGTAACTTATGACATGAATAAGGCAGGGTGCTATACTGCAATATCAATATAAGTAATGCACTAAAACCACAGCTAAGAACTTTTAGCAATCAAGCTTAGTACATTTTTTAATAATATCTGTGTAAACTAGACATCATTGAGATGGGAGCTATCTCTGTGGGCCCCGCTGTGAATAACGTGTGGTAAAAAATTTGTATCTTTACCATAGGACATATGGTTGTTTTCTGATAAACCAAAGTTTTTTACCTTGACCTTTGACCTAGGAAGTTGTACAAAAATTATGACCCACCCTCTGGTGTTGGTTAATATACATGTCAAGTATAAAGTATGAAATCATAACGGTTCTCTAGATATAGAGCGGACACAATTTGTTACGTATCGACCGACGGACAGACTGATCACTATAGGGCGACCAGCTATTCGGCGGGGCTCTAATAAAGTTTATTGCTGGTAAAGATACATGTACGTTATTAAAATCAGAAATTATTGTGTGCATTTATTATTGCAATTTTTGAAGAATGGACAAAAATGCGATATTAATTATTGTGATTTCAGAAAAATACAGTTATATGTATTGGATATCAGAATGTGACTTCTTATTATTGCGATACTCACAAAGTTACCTTAAACATTGCAATAATTTCTGAATTTACACCATACAATATTCTTACATAATGTACGACAACAGAAATTTATTTGCACAAATTATAAAAGAGGAAGAAAAGCAAGGCTTGCATAGATTTTCTCCTATTCGTCATTTTGTTCGTAACATTTGCTTTAATGTGGACTGTAAAGAAGACACAAAATTGAGCTGTAAAATAGATTTTCTTAGTAATTTGATCACATAACTGTTTCCAACTCTAAGCAACAGAAGCAGGATACCAGTAGAATATATATATATTACTATATATATAATATAGCTTGATCGCTTCAGTCAGATTATCTGAGCACCTGTATTTGTATAGCAAAATGGTTGGTAATATTTAATTATGGGATTATTAATGTGTACCGATTCTTTTTGTCTTAGAAAATTGCCCTTTCTATAAGTTGTAATTAGCGTTGAACTAGCTTTCAGTAACTGCAAGTACTTTGTGCCTTTTTTTTTTGTGCAACATGTATGTGTTGATCTGACAAGTTAATTGTCAAGCCTATTTCAATAACTTTTACAGTTTGTTATGTTGTACTGTGACACCACTGTTGTTGAAGACAGCAAAGCAACCTATATATAGATGCTTTCATCTACATCATTTGGTCTCTGTTGGATAGTTTTCTCATTGCAGTCATACCACTTCTTCTTATCTTTATATTAAAAGATTTGGTCTTCTAACTAGTAGTAGGAAAAGATTTTGGTGCAGATTGATTTGATATACAAAAACAAGGGATAACCAGTTTTAATAGCGAGCAAAAAGAAAAAATACAACAATTTACCTGTCTAATAATAAAGCTTTTCAAATTCAAACCATTACTTTATAGTTCATCAAAGCTCAGGAATAGCATTCTGTTTCTTATATTTGACAGGTCAGCTAAAAATAAGAGAAAGTAATTTTTTTAATACAAATACAGATACTTTTTTTAAAATAAGGAGCAGATTAATTACAATGAATCATACACGATACATAAATAAATATAACATATCAAATAAAGAAATTACGTCTGCCACCCAACCCCGAATTGATATCTGGATTTCCTTCATAGAAATAATGTTCATTTTTTTCTTTGATTTCTAGAAGAATTGCTTCATCATATTTAAAATAAAGAGCTGCGCCATGAGCACATGATATGTCTGTTGTCCTTTAGCTCGTCTTTATGCCTTAAATTAATCTTTATGATTAACTAGAAATACTGCTTAAAATACCCCCCCCCCCCCAAAAAAAAAAGCCCACAAAAAAACATGCACACACCAGCACACAGAGGCACAAATCATGAATAATTTTTAAGAATAAAATCCCATAACTCGAAAAAGTAAAAATCTTAAATATATAAAAATTGTATGGGAGCTTATGTTACAGTTCACCAAAGTTTCATGAAAATTTGTTAAAGCATGTATGAGTCATTGTCCGAAAACTGGAGAAAAAAACAACCCTTTTTTATGAATAAAGTCCCAATACTCAAAAGCGAGAAATCAAAAATAAAAAAAAAATGGAAGGAAACTTTTGTCAATAAATATAAACAATTCACCAAAGTTTCATGAAAATTGGTGAAATCGTTTTTGAGTTATTGACTGAATGATTCACCAGCGATGTTTCTTAGCTTATTTCGAAAAAATTGAACCAAACTGGGTGCTAAATGTGAATTATTAATTCACTATTGCACTTTCATTAAATATTGAAAAAATAATAATCATATTTTAATTTTTTGTATATCTCGTAGCTTAGATGCCCCATTAAAGGCAGGCGTATAATGACTGCAGGCTTTATTTTGAACATTTCTAAATCATTGTGTGCATTTAATATTATTGTTATTTTTGAAAGGAGGGACAATAAACTGCTTCGCTGATCGCAGCTGGATACGCCCGCAGAGGTCTAACCCTGAACAGTTGGGTCAAAAATGGAGACAATATTCAAGCTTGATACAGGTCTGAATTTGGATTGTAATTAAATATTTGACATATTATAGGTTTCTGAATAAATGTAGTCAAACAACTTGAAATTGGTTATATGAATTGAATTTATATTCAATTAAAGATTTCTTGCTGTTGTGCAATACACTATGCTGTTGCGCAATACTTAGTAAATCTGTTGTCAGACTATAAACAAATAAAATTTATAAAATTCTAAAGGGAGCTCACATCAATAGATATAAACAATTCACCAAAGTTTCATAAGAATTGCTGAAAGCATTTTTGAGTTATTGTCTGAAAACTGGAAAATCCCCCCTTTTTCAATGAATAAAACCCCAGAACTCGGAAATGTAAAATCGAAAATTTATAAAATTCTAAAGGGAGCTTACATCAATCGATATCAACAATTCATCAAAGTTTCATGAAAACTGCTGAAAGCAATTTTGAGTTATTGTCCGAAAACTGGAAAATCCCCCCTTTTTTTATGAATAAAACCCCGTAACTTGGAAACGTAACATCTAATAATAGTAAACGGGCGTATAAAAATGTGAGGTTAATTATAATTGCGATATTCATCGGATTAATCGCAATTCTTCTGAATTTATAGTACAATAATTTACTGCCTTGTCAATGTCTGTTGTAACTGTATATAACGTGAGCCGAGGGTACCCAAATTGCACCTATTTTGACAGTGTTTTTCACATACATTTTTTTAAGATCCAGACAAAAATTTCCATTCTGTGTTTATTTTGTAGATGTATCCTTATTTACTATTTAGTTCCACCAATTTAATTTTGAATCCATATTGAATCATAGAAAAATGGGTTTTTAAAAACCGACCTCCAAACAATCCATGATTCTGTAATGAGGAGTACCCAAAATGCATCCATGCTTTAATTCCTATCCTTGAAATTCGAATAACAGATGCTTTGTTTTATTTCTTAAAATTTTTAGAACAATTTGACATTTAAGTCCATGCTTGCTATTCAATTTTTAAGAAATTAATACTCGTATGGCGTAACATATTTTATTTGCTCATTTTTAAAAGATGACTTTTTGTGGACGTCGCATGCTAATGTTTCCGTAGATTTTACTTTTCCAGTGAATACTTCATCTGTTGATATATACTGTAAACTTTTGAGAATATTTAAATATATGTACCTACATGTATTAGAAAAATGTGCAATTAAATGTCAAATAATTTAAAAAAATACAAATTGTTTAGTGCCTTAGAAAACTTGCAAGATTTGCTAAATAGGTGCAATTTGGGTACTGTGACGCAAGACATCATCAGCATGCAAGCAGTGCTCTTTTTCATTTGAATACTGATGATTTAACCATATCTTAAAAGAATATGTCAACGTGGGCAGTCATGATATTAATAAGTCTATTATTATTGTCTCATGAGAGGCTTTCTTAATTTTTTGCTAGAATGACGGTCATATGAAGTGTCACAGTAAATCATTAACAAAGCCTTTCAAGAAAAATAATATTATTTGGACTATCATGTTCAAAATTGTTCTCATGTATTTTATAACCAACAAGTATATAAACTTGCAATTGGTCATATTGCTGACTTGGTTCTGGATTTTAAAAATATTGGTTTAAAAATAACTTATTCAAGGTGCAGGCATTTTCCAGAGAAAGACGCACAGTCCACGATAAGTCAAAATAATAGGCTGTTTTTAATGTTTCCGATATCGGGGAGGGGGTGGCGTTAACGCTGTAAACTTCCAAGTAGGGATCTATAAAATTCAAAGTTGAAATATACCATCAACACTTGGCAGAAAATATTATACTATGGGACTTCACATTTGAATTGCTTTGGTTGGTTGGTTGGTTGGGGGGGGGGGGGGGGGGGAGGGGTTACACCATATGTGACTGATCTCCAAATTACGTGTTCAGGGTTCCTTTGAGCAAGTTTTTGTGCCCTAAGCTTTAAATTAAGGGCTCCATGATATGAAGGTAGGGATCATGGCTCCAGCAACGTGGGCTCCGGACGGAAGTCAACGGTGGAGCAAACTTTGTTATAATTTACAGATGTACCCAACCAGGATACCTGCAAAACGTAAATTAAAAATGAATTTCAGAGTAAATGTTGAGAATGGGCTCTTGGTATAATGCAGGGAACTTGTTTCATTCGATATTCTGTTCATTTACTGACGGGACTCGATAAATTATTCAAATTTCAGATATTTTTTGCAGTCTAGTTTCGTTTTGACCACGTATGTAACATGCTTGCCAACACTGAACTCGTTTTATCTAATACTGTGTCGTTTTTCGCCTTCTGAAGCGAATGGTTAACAAAACAAGCAACGTATGTTTCATAACTTTTACATATTTGGTGGCTTACACTTACTTTTCTGGCTAGATTTTCACGTAGAAGTGAAAATAATTTCCGCTGCAAGGTGCTTTCCATTCTGCAAACTACAAACATCTGTTCGACGGCGATCGTCTACTGATTGGTTGATCATCAAAAGGAGGCGGTATCCACAAGCCGACAATCTCGGCACAAAAAAAAACTATTGCAACCGTTTACCATAATATTTAAAGCACAAACATACAATATTCGTGTTTCAGTAAACAAATTACACCATATGGATACCTGTTTTTAATTAACAGGCATGTATGTAATTTGATTTCATACAGTTTTATCGATAGACGCAGCTTAGGTACTCTCCGCCATTAATGAATATATGAATACATAATGAGGTACCTGCGGGGTTATCTGCCCCTGACCAAATTTAATCGAAATTGCCTTAACATCACTGCGTAAGCAAAAACGTAATCATCTCAAATAATTTCACATAATAAACAACTTTAATTGATGTGTTTTTATAGAGTTGATGGTTAATTTTTTAGAAGGTTGACAAACTGTTTAGGTAAATAATTACTAATTCGGACCTTTTCTAGAAGATATACATATTTTAAACAAAACAGTCACTTTTAAGAAAAGAAAAATATTTGGGTAATTTTGGTATCAACTTACAGTTAAGGAGTTATAGTCACTATATAACTATTGTTGAATGTCTTTATTGACTAATAAACCATATATTTAAAACTGAAATAGAAGGGTATATCTGTGAATTCTTGAAATTGTAGAATATAACATGGGGCTATGAATTAGTGGTTTATACTTTTATATATCTTAGTATTGTATAGGACATTGTGTAGCCCTGTTATTTTATTATGTTGTGTTATGCTGCTCACTTAGTTTTCAATTGCCGTGAAACCCGAATATCTTTTTTAGTTATAACTCTATTTAGTTTTGGTCAAATTAATCAAGTAATGCATTCGTGCTGATCATATGGATATAAATGGACTAAGGAAAGGTAATAACATTAACGGTACCAACTTTTCGGCACAAGATGAGCATTATGACAATATCATCAGTGATGCTCGGGGACAAATTATTTGAAAATCCAAAGCTTATTAAAAGTATGAAGAGCTTATGAACCAAAAATAACAAATAAGTATAACCAAATTCTGACAAGGAATCAGAACTTTGCCTGAGGGAGATACATTCCTTCAGTTATTATAATTTTCAAAATTTTAATAACACAAAATCCGTATTTTCGTGCCAGCACCAACGTACTAGCTACTTGGCTGTTGATAACCCCGGGGACTGACAGTCCACCAGCAGAGGCATCGACCCAGTGGTAGTAATAACATTAACGGTACCAATTGTTCTGCACCAGATGCACATTTCGACGATAGATGTTTAAGACACCAACAAAACAAACGGAGAGAAGGATAATGTTGAACTGTAGATTAAAAAAAATAGTTATATATGATGTAGATTGTAAAATTGTACCTATGCCAGATATCTAAGTTGTCAAATAGGTTATTCAGTCGTTCGCAATTGTACAATGTTTCCTGGTTCTCGGACTCACAACTGCTTGTGATCATGGAATTGGGCGTCACCTGACAACATAAGTGACCTTGTTAAGGCATACGGTCTATATCTGTCCATTCGATTGCAATATCCATAATGTTAAATTTAATAATTGTCAGCTTTTTTTATTGAATAAACACAAGTAAAGTCAACAACAGTTACCAACATTAAATATCGAACAATGGTGATAAATTTCAAATAGACCGATTAATAACTTAAAGTTAAAATTCAATGTAATTTATGATTTCTTTATTTAGATTCATCATGGACAAAAATAACAGAAACCACGAAACTGACGACGATGAAAATGTGTATGGAATGAGAAAAATTACATACTTGAAAAAATACGGGGTTAAACATTTTCCTTACCGTGGAAGGCGCAAATACACACCATCAATTTACCAATCTGTAGACACAGGAATGATGATCTCAAACGATGTTTTTGGATTGACAATCAGGCAGTTTGAAAGAATGTATAAAGATTGTCTACAAAGAAGGAAAACACATGAACAGTGGATACTAAACCTTAGATATCCTGAAAAATCTTCAAATGAATATCTGGAATACTTACAGAATTGTACAGACGGTTATAAAGGTAATTACTTTGCAACGTCTAAAACCTTTGTAAAATAAAATAAACAATTACAGGTGTGTACTAGATTCTAATTTACCACAACTAGAAATACAAAATCATTAGCCAGGCACCTTATAGCTAAGTCGTTGTCGTGTGTTGCTGTTAATCAGATTTTTTGTTTGTTTATTATTTTGTAGAGGCCTTTGGTTGTCTCGTTTGAATTGTTTTACATTTGTCATTTCGGGCCCATTCTTAGCTAGCTTTTCGTTATGGGTGTTGTTAATTGTTGAATGCCATAGTTGCTAACATCAACGTAACTTGATATCTGGTGGATAGTTGTCTCATTAACCATAATAACTCATCTTTTTATGTTTAAATGGACAACACAATGACTTAAATGCGATATTCAAGGAAACAAACAAGTTCGCAAAATGCTATACAGTAAAGTAAAAAATGAGGAACTCGAACCCAACAGGAACCAAGGGTTGCATGTAGGTGCTTAAGAATGTAACAAATCCTTGATCTTCTGTAAACAGTGCTACTAATTGGTTTAGTATATGGTGCTCAGGAATTTAACAGTTCCTGTTCTACTATCTGTTGTGGTGCTGTTGGGAAGACAATAATTATATATACGTCTCATTCGGTTATTAATTTAACAGTTCCTGTTCTACTATCTGTCGCGGTGCTGTTGGGAAGACAATAATTATATATACGTCTCATTCGGTTATTAACGATATATGACCAGTGGATGTGATTATCTCATTGATAATATAAATAACTTCTGTAAAAAAAAACCTGTTTAACCCGTTTAAATGTCTTCATTGTATGAAGAAATATTTAAATATTTGAACAAAGAGGCTAAAGATTGATGTAAAATATAAACAGAGGTGTACGACGAAAGATACCAGAGGGACATTCAAACTCATAAGTCGAAAATAAACTGACCACGACATAGTTAAAAAGGAAAAGACAGACGAACAAAGTACACAAAATTAAGACTGGGCAACACGAACCCCACCAAAAATTGGGGGTTATCACAAATGCTTCGTAAGGGTAATGAAATACTGCTCCACATGTGGAACCCGTCGTATTGCTCATGTTAGTACAAACTCGATAATAAGTATAATTCGGTAGGTCACATTCGGGAAAAGAGGATGGGATTGTAGTTTGACATTTGGGACATATCCGCTATCATTTGTGAAACGGATATTTCGTAACGGTCAACCAACTTGTGATGGTGTCCGTAAGACTTACGAAGGGATGTTTTCAACTTCACCAATTTGAACTCATGGTTTAATAACTTCCTTGTAAGCAGCAACCCTCTTTCAAGGAACTCATGATAGGAAATACAAGACCTGTAATATTGTATCAACTGGGAGATATATATTCCGTATGCATGCGCTGATGGAATGTTACTACATAGAAATGGAAAGTTCACAATTGGGAAATCTTTTTTGTCGTAAAGGTGTGTTTTCAACCGACCTTCATTGTCAATTTCTAGATGTAAGTCAATATATGAGGCAGACTTAACTGTATCTGTTGTATCCTTTATCTATAGTTCAATGGGATAGATGCGTTTAACATAGTCACCAAATTTTGAATTATTTAGTGAGATAACACCATCTATATAGCGGAAAGTAAAGTTGAAGGATACTGCTAACTTCTTTTATTCCTTCCTAAGAAGATCCTGTATGAAGTCAGCCTCATATGCATAAAGGAACAAGTCGGCAAGAAAAGGGCCACATTTCGTTCCGATGGGAATGCCGATTGTTTGTTATAAATCAAGTCTTAGGGTTAAAGCTAAATCTTCATCAAATTTTAAAAATATCTTTTTAATTTGCGCGTGATAAACGCTTTTCTGAATCTTTGTTAAGATAACTAGATTTAAATGAAATTTCTATGTGAGGTGGGGTGTCTATTTGATGTTACCTTCAACAGGAACCTTCAAAAATTTAGATAGTTTTACATGGACTACATAACCATGTCATCTACACATTGTGTCTATCTGTTGATAACCTAAAGCAATGCAATCATAATAAAGTTTCCATTATGAGCAGGTACAATGAATCATATATTTGGTCGGCTTTGATTGAAACACGACATACTGCACTTGCATTGAATACAGTAGTTTAAATAAAACAAGATGTCAGATCAAGAAGCTAAATAAAAGTTCAATAGTCATTCTTTGTAAGACTTTTGTCATTTGTTTATATGCACATATAACAGTCAAATTACACAATCAGTAAATTTGACAAAATATGCATATGTAATTAATCAATGGGGTCTTGGTGGACGAGTGATTTAAGTAGTTGACCTACTGTATTAATAGTATGTCAACACTGAGGATGTGAGCTCGAATTATGCACAGGACAGATGCACTCGACTCCTATCTTAACTGACTAGGATTGTTAGTTTACAGAAGGTCGTTGGTTCTCTCCAGGCACTCAGGCTTCCTCAACCAATAAAAACTGACCGCAACAAAGTGGCACAATAGTGTTGAAAGTGGCTTTAAACCCTACCCAATCAATCAATCAAATTAATCAATGAAAACAAGAACATTAAAATAACAATAACAAACACATGTGTATCGCCAGGATAATCTACGGATTTGACAAAACAAAATTACACATTTGTTTCTTCAAATATTTCAACCAAGCAAACTAAAAAATCAATAAAAAATTCAATTTTCAATAATTCTTTTATGATTTGCACATCTGCAAATACTTGAATTGGATTGGTCCATGAGAAGTTTTTCCCTTGATTTACACTTCGATAAGCCATGTTGCCGAAACTAATTTCACTGTAATCTATTCATGTACTTTACACTTGCATGTGATCCAAGGGTATTAAGCAAATTGAGATTGAAAAACAAATTACATAATTTGTTTATGCATAGAAAAAAAGAAATAATGCATTCAAGCTTGGAAAATGTGGGAAATTAAGATAAGATAAAATTCCGCGAAATACCATGAGTGATCTTTCCGCTATAACGTCATGGCAAAACATGACGGCATACGAATGCAAACTCTTAATCTGAAGAT